ACAAGACCAAAGGCACTGCCCAAAAACCTGCTAAACACCTAATGATTTGGGTGGTTAAATACATGTTACCGGGACAACAGAGGAGGGAAGAATCTTTAGATGCTCCAAAGTTTTGGATAGCAGACTGAACCACTTGGGAGCACAGATGGTGTTTTCAACACTTCTTCTTTCTAGCAGTTGGGACTTTGGAAGGGATGGAGAAATCTTGGATGTGAACAATTGGCTCTGCAGATGGTGATTGATGGTGAGCTGGTTTGGCTAACAGTTTTACATCCTGGACTGATGGGTTTTTATTCACAGAAGAATTAGGAGAATGGGGAGGAAGGAAGGGGGGAAAATGGAGAAAGGAAATGCAACTGAATACACAAGTAAGAGAATAATGTGTATTAGGTTATGGTTTGTTTATCTATTTTGTCTGCATAAGTACAAATAATCAGAAGGCCACATCTAAAATAGGCTAGGGTAGCAACCAGGGATGCAAAGAAGCTTACCAAATTTCAACTGATAAAACGACTCTGGATAACTTTATTAAGTTTGTCACTTGGCATCATATAATCATGAAACATGGGAGTCAGTACATAGGGACAATTTCCCCAGGAAATTAAAGCTACCATGGAAATCAAGTCACTTGCTGGGACAAGTGACAAGGCAGTAAGGTAAATAAAGTCTAGCAGAAGTCTTGGCCAAAAGAGACCCCTTTCTATAATTATGAAGGGAACACAAGATCAAAGAGATTCTTAACAGTGGAAATGCCACCTGCTCTTAAAAATTAAGGAATACCCAAGGAATTTATATATAAAACCTTTAAGTCATAATACCTACTTTAAACATATTTACTTGGGACAAAGAGGGTTAGTTACAGATTTCCCAGTATAATTTTGTAGTAGGCAGCTCTCTCCCAGGATATTTCTGGTAAAATCATGAGACACAACAGAATAAAAATTGAAGGTGATATGAAAGCCAAGTCCTTCAAAATGGCAGGACGTGCATTCATTTAGACATCCAAGACGTACTGAGTACACGGCATATTCTGGGCATTGCCCTGAGTCCAGGAGATACTGACATAAGTAACAGTTTCTATCTACTCTCAAGGAATTTATAGTGTCAGTGGAGGGCAGACAGTCCCACAGGATACTCAGGCTGCTTTGTGAGATTAAGTGAGCTGTCGGGAGCCAGCTCTGCAGAGAAAATGAGGGGTTAGAAGTTTGAAGGGAGAGAAGAAACTCACCAGGCTGAAAGGGGCAGAACTGAAGAGCCCCCGGTCAGAGAGAAGAGCACGCTGTGCATGCTGAGAAGTGGGCTGAGAAGCTCCCTGTGTTCAGTCCGATGGTGTGCAAGGGGGAGACTTCAGGACGTGGAGCCACCAGCCAATGAGATGGGGCTTGTGAAGGGCTTTGTGGTATCCACTCAAAAGGGGGTTGTCTCCTCTAACATGAGTAACAGAAGACATTTAAAGAATTTAAGTAGTATTGAGTTAGGTGGGAAAACTTTGGTGCATTTGATCTGGATGGCTTTTGTTTGTTTTCACTGACCTAGTTCTGTAGTACTCTGCTTTTAAGTTGTATTCTGAAGACATATCTCCTTAAATGGATGGAGCCTTGTTCACAAAGGAGCCCCAACAACCTTCTCTTTAGCAAATGCACATCTTCTTAAAATGTTTTTAATGTGTATTTATTTTTGAGAGAGAAAGACACAGTGTGAGTGGGCGAGGGGCAGACAGAGAGGGAGACATAGAATCCGACCGAAGCAGGCTCCAGGCTCTGAGCTGTCAGCACAGAGCCTGACGCGGGGCTCAAACTCACCAACTGTGCGATCATGATCTGAGCCGAAGTCAGACACTTAACTGACTGACCTACCCAGGTGCCCCTAAATGCACATCTTCTTACCATATTATAAAAAAGCATTGATCCTCACCAGTAGAGACACTGCATTCATTGCTTTCACATTTGATTGAAAATAAGGTCTTCCCTGTGTTAGAATGAATTTAGTTAGCAAACCCAGCAGAAAACAGTAAACAAAAATGCAGTGAATCTTTCTGCACTTTCTGTGACAGTCTGTTGTCACCTTCAGTGTCACCAGAGTATCCACCTCCAGGAGATGCCATCTCTCCTTGTGACAGTTGCCTTTGTCTTTGTGAAGGGAGAGATCCCTTACCCAACAGGGATTAATTCCCTCATGTAACTTTAATAAGGTGCAGTGGTGTTTCCTCAGTGACACTGACAGAAATCTTCCCTAATATAAATTGATCATTACCCTCCAGAGCTAAAGAAAATTCTATTGCCTTAGGTTCCTTGCTCCTTTGAGTTCAAGCTGATACAGTAATTTTGTTTTCTGGAAATGTTAATGCTTTTTAACAGTCCTGGAGCCAGTCAAGACTCAGGATTCCCATTCAAAGTTCATGACCTTAAAGTTGTGGCAAACGCACAGTAAAAGTCAGATGTCAAGAATGTGGCCCTGGAAAGGTATTTTGCCCATAGAAAAATATTTATTTTGAAGTCTAGAACAAATAGTTAACCAGAAATCTGTCCATTGCACCATTGTCTGGCTCCAGATTTCCCCTTGCTTTACGCCATTTTTGTGGTTTTATTTGTATAATTTGATATGAGATTTTGCTGTACTTAATCAGTCTCTGACTTTCTTAGAGATGATGCCAATTACTTAGTTGATGATGAATTGACATTTCAGATAGCTTTTACACATGAGCTGCCTTTTTGTATCATCTGGGCTCTTCACAGATTCTGACCACATTAGCAAACTCTCTCACCTCCTAAGCAATATCTCCTTTTCCATGTGATAATATGCTATAACAGAAAGAGCACCAAACTTAGAAGGCCTGATTTCTAGATCAAGGACTATCCCTCATGAAATAAGGGACCTTAAAAATGTCATTTAACCTCTGGACCTCAGTGTCCTCACTTTACAGGTAGAGAACTAATAATGTATCAATGCCTATCTTAGCACTGTTTATAGATCCAGTAGAGAAAAGGGTACCCAAAATCATATTGTATTATAAATTTACAAACATTTATTGAATGGCATAATTGTTGGTGTGCCAAAAATGCAAAATGGTTCTTCAAAGACTGTGTCTTTATTCAATCCTAATAAAAGGCCTATTGAAAGCATTTTTACTGGGAACTAGTATGCTCCTGGTCAGTTTGATACAGGAATCAAACTTAGACAATCCACAGAAATGGACGGCTAATATATCCCTTCAAACATCTCATTTAGTGTCAGCCTTCTCTTCTGAAATTTTGATAGAACAGCTAATCAATTCAAGATGGAACCCATGTCTGCATGTGCCAAGATCCAGATCCAGATTTAAGTGTGATCCATGCACTTTAAAATTGAGGCTTGGCAGGTTATGAAATTAGACAACCTGCAGTGAAGATTTCAAAATGCATAGCACCCTTCTCAGGGTCACCGCTTTGCTCCTTAAATTGGAGGCTCAGAGGTATCTTTTTATGACCAGAAGTTTCGGATCTGCTGAAAAGCCTGGACAAGCATTCGATCGAGTCCCTCGAGTTCCATGCTAGCAGCAAGGCAGAAATACTTTTGGCCTGGCAATTTCAAGGCAGGTGTTACCAGTTGGTTGCCTGAACCATGGAAACACCTCCTTCTGGCCTTTTTTAAATGCCTGATTCAAGCAGCACTACCTCCTGATGGGCCTGCCAGGGAGAATTAGTTTCAGAACGCACTCGCAGGAAGTGGAATGAATTAAGCTGCTGGATGAATTAGGAATGTATACGTAAATGTTGAAAACAGTTGGCACAAAACAGCAATCTTGAATTTGGCATCACTGAAGTTGCACTTCTCTTTGTTTTGTTTTGTTTTCTGATGATATTTAGTCAGTAGGTTCAGCTGCTTATATTGGAGTTTTAGGATTCATGATAGTAAATTAAGTCATAGAAGATCCTTTATAAAATATAGTCTTAAAGCAATCAAGGCAAAGTATTACAACATCATGTTAGTGTTACAGAGCTCACCAAAGATTAGAAAATACATGTTTGTATCCTGCTTTCTGAAATCCAGGTTTTCTTCACTTTGAAGAATGTCACCCCCCCAAAAAAAAAGCTAGATTCAATCTTCTGGTGGGCTTCCTTGGTTAAAAAAAGTGATGTGGTTGGTAAGAAAACAAATAACTCTAGCGAATTTTATTATTGGTTTTAAGAGTAAAATGAATCATGGAGACTCTTCAGTGGTTCTTAAGTGTTTGAGAGTTGTGTCTACTTCGAAAATCTTACAAAAGCTGAATGCCTTGCCTAGAAAAGTGGATAAAACACATGCCACACAATCTGAGTTATAATTCCACAAGGTTCCACGTTCACTGATGGACCCCCGTGCCCCCAAGCTGCCCACAGTGTTGATCTGTACCTACCCGCCTTGTAGGTCGTTCTTATTTCTGTCTCCCATTCTGTGGTTTCCCCTCTTTTTGCAAACTCTGTCTCTGGCAAATGGGGTGTAGGTTCTTGCTTACCACCTTCATCATCGCTGAAGGCCAGTTTGTCCCTGAACCTACAGTAACCATGGACCTCAACTACATGTGACAAAAGTGAGCGCTATCATTTACTATCTACTCTGGACAGATAGTGTATTGAGTGCTTTACACACAACCCCGCCACTCCATACTGTTTTCTGAGGCATCCAGGATGATTTGTGTGCACCACTGTGTATCCCACTAACTCAGAGTAAGCAGGAGGTACTGCCTGTATTTAAGAGATACGAGAGATACTTGACCCATGTCTCTAATTTTGTTCAAGAACCCCAGAGTCCCTGATTCAGAAGGCCTGACTATGAATGTCTCCCTGGATTCCCCTCAGAATAAGGATGGCTTTACCTCAGGTGCCCAGCCTCTCCATCTACCCCTTGGACTTGGCTGGAGTTGGCGGTGGAGCGGCCTTTCGCACCTTCCTGCTGAGAAATCTCATTTTCCTGCCTCGCTGCTCTGAAATCACCACCACGCACCTCTGACTATTGCCTTCTGCTTTGCTTTGTCCACACAGGTGACGACATTGACTCAGGAGGTCTCCCAGTTAGGTAAGGACATGAGGAATGTGATGCAACTTCTGGAAAACGTTCTGTCACCCCAGCCGCCGTCGCGGTTTTGCTCTCTGCACACCACCTCTGTGTGTCCCCCCAGGGACAGCTTACAGACCAGGACGACCTGGAGTGCGCACCAGCCTTGCCTACACTTACAAGCAGGTGGAGCTGCTTATACTCAAGCACAACTCTGTCACGGTAATGTCACCTCAGACATTTGGAGTGTGGATCCCTCCTCTGTGGGGAGCAGCCCCCAGCGAACTGGAGCTCATGAGCAAAATCCTGCAGACAGTGAACTTTACCACTCTCCGAACCTCGATTATTCACCTGCCCACTGCCAGGTTGTCCAGGAAGGTCACTTGCAATTTTTAAGGTGCATCTCTCCACATTCAGATTCCACACTGACGCCTCTGCAGTCCATCTCCGCGACTCTCTCGTCCTCCGTCTGCTCTTCGTCGGAAACCTCTTTGCACCTGGTTCTCCCCAGCAGATCGGAGGAGGGCAGCTTCAGCCAGGGAGCCACGAGCCCCTTCAGTCTGGAAAACCTGCCGGGATCTTGGGACAGGGAAGGAGCGGCCTCAATCTCTACTGAACCCTTGGAGAACTTTCCACTGGAAGTTGTCACAAGCACAGCAGAAATGAAAGATAATAAAGCCATAAACGTATGATATTCGCACGTGCGGCAGCTGCCAGTCTCAAACCCACCACTGCATGACAGCTTTAGTTTGCCTTTTTTGCCCGGGCAGGTGTGAAGACTGGGCAAAGCGGGGGGGTCCCGCGGGAGAGCGCCGTCAGAAGCCAGCCAGAGGCACAGCCACATCCGTGCCGTAGCAAACACTTGCCAGACCCTAGAAACCTAGCAGAAGCAGTTTCCTCTACAGGTATTCACTTCCTGGTCTGTGTGACCGACTTTTTAAAAGTCCAGAGACCCCGAGGGTCTGAGCAGCTAGAAGTCCCAGACAAAGAATTGGTGGATTCGTTTTGTCCTAGGTGACTTTTGTGAAGTGCAGCGAAGGTTTTCCTGAGTGCCTGTTTGTCATTCCCGAACAATATCCATAGCTCTGGTGGCCTCGGGAGTGCACAGCTCCCGCTGATCTATTTTTCTTTTTGTGAAGGCAAAGGGACAATTATCACTGCATGTCATCTAGACAATCAGTCAAATAGAGCTGGTGGCCAGTGGTTAGCTATTGCACGTTATTTGCCATGTAAATGAACATGTCTTTATTTATCAGGAAAAAAAAAAAAAGAGAGGCTATTTTTATATCCTTGGTATGAAATATGTATTTAAACTATTTAAAATATTTATAAAGAAATGAATGTTTTCTTTTCATTTTGGTAAAAAAGAAAAAGCTTGCCGTTTTAACAAGAAATGCACTACCGTTATTATGTATAGTAGATCAAAAATTATTTATTAAGAGGATGTAGTTTCAAAAGGAACCCGCCTTTTATCTGCATGCGGTTTGCAACAAATGTACCCTCACGCTTCGGGATTACAAAAGAGCAGTGAGGTCATATTTTATTAATGAAATAAAAACATAGACTGAGTGTCAAATATGTGGGCTTTGGCACGGTGGTAGGGAAGGCTCCACCTAGTTAGTCTCCGCTGATTCACACCAACGACCTGAATTAAGGCTGCCCCACTGTGCTAGCATAAATGTCTCTCCTCCAGGCATCAAACTCAGTGTTGTTCAGGAACCCACATTTGGTGTGTGGAATATCAGATCACAACTCCTGTAAGCCATTTTGGCCTCAAAATGAGGGAGAGAACCTTGGCTGTATCCTTCCTCTGTGCTATTCTTGCAGGAGAGGTTGTAGACCAGTGAAAATTCCAAAAGGAGCCAAGACTTCTGAGCAATGATTTGTGAGAGTGAAGCCAGCTTACATCAGATCAGCGTTTTCATTGTTGTTTCTGTAAAGTTCTCAACAATGCCATAAGTTATGCGGAGCAGGTGTTTCCATTCTCATTTAGCAAACAGAAAAAAAAAAAAAAAAAAAAAAAAAGTAGTAACAGAGATTACAGAGCTCAGATGCCGGAGATGGTCTAGAACCTATAATGCTCCCTGCATCTCAGCCAACATGCAAATTCAGATGCTGGCTTGGTAATGATTTAAACGCCTTCACTCAACTTTTATCTTGATGTTTGAAAACATTTAAGGCCAAATCATCCCAGACATTCTTAGAAAACATCGCATTTATGTTCTGTAGTCCCCCCTGTTCTTACTTCGCATCACAAAGAATAAACGATCCAAGAATTGTATCATTAAAAACAACTAAACAAACTAAAACTTCTGATGTGTGGGTCTTGTACCCTAAAATTGGCTACAGCAGCAGAAAGAAATATGTAAGGAAAAGGGAAACAGTATATGTTTACCAGGCAAGTTACTCAAGACAATGCCTTCTACTTCTCCACTGCCAAAATTCAATCTCTCCTTACCTACATGAATGGAAAATTTAGGCAAAGGCGATTTTCTAGATTTAATGTATTTATGTTTGTATTCATTTGTATTCTCCTTTTAGCTCATCCTGACCTAGATAATCATTTTAAGTACCATTCAAAAAGAACTAACCGGTGTTAGTGTGTGGCAGGCTACCAACTACTATTACTGATGCTGACAAATAATGACTGGCATTCTGTGTTTTGAGTAGTGACTATGTACCAACAGATGTTTAGAAATGAACACATGTTATGTTTCCTCATATAATAGCCAATGCTAAAAGTGACTTACTATTATCCCCATTTTGTAAATGAATAATTGGGCCACGGACTTCTTTTAACTTGTCCAGTCACATTGTTTTAAATGATAAACCGAATACCCCCATGGCCGCTCTGGGTACCCTTCCCTTCATGTCCAAAGCTATTCTTGCTGTCTTTTTTAAAACTTTACCAGTAACTAATTCTTTTTGAAGTCTGTGAATAATAAAATATCTGTTTTTTAAGGAAGCATACACATGGGACAAATTAGTTCAAATGTGAGGATCTGAGGAGGCCCCAGTGAAATGCCTGGAAACATGCCCATAAAAATATGGGCAGCCACCCAGTCCCCTTCTCCATATCTACTCCTAACAGCTGACTTTCACGGGTGTAAGAACCAGATGCCTGCCCTTGTATGTCTGCAGCTGGACAAAAATGAATGAGTGCCCGGGATACGTGAGGGTTCCCACTGATTTCTAACAGGACACCTGCCTCATCTGAATGAGCCCCTCCTTACTCCTTATTCATTATTCTGATAAACAGAACTGCCCCACATCCTGGGCAGCTCAGAATGACATGTTTTGTTTTGTGTCCGTGTATTGTGATATTACTCCAGGAAATGAGAATTCCAAGTTGTTCTAGGTGTTTGATTTTCGAAACGTCGTTGTAGCATACATAGCAGAAGCCCGTATCTTCTCATCAGGGATGCGTGTTCAGATCTATTTTCCTCACCTACCCACTCTGCTGAAGAGGCAAAACAGGGATCCAGAAGGAAGAAAAGCACTTATTTTCTTGGTCAAATATATTTTCTTAAAAATAATATTGAGGACTAAAGTCTTCTGTGTAGCTCTAATTAAGAGAACCAGACAGACAGATTAACAGGACTTTATTGTAATTCAACGTAAGAAGTTTCTGGCAATTAAAGCCACTTACAAATGGAGTTTATTGCCTTGAGATGTGGTAAAAGTCCTAACAAAGTGTCCTTTCGGAGCTTGTATAACTATGTGACAGGCACATTGTTTTCCAGTTGGAAATCTGTACTAGGTGTGAGCATATCAGAGTACATGCATCAGAATCACATGGGGGTACTTGGTTAAACTTTAGAAGATTTGGTTTCAACCTAGTGCCTTTGGGTGGGGCCTGGGAATCTCCCACTTAGTAAACTCCCGGCGTGACACATATACTAAATATTGGGAACTATTGGTCTGGAATCTATAGCAGTACAAACTGAGTCTTAGCTAATTTATACACAGCATCTAAATTCTGTTAAAGTGGGGCATCTGGGTGGCTTAGTCGGTTAAGCGTCTGACCTCAGCTCAGGTCATGAACTCGCAGTTCGTGAGTTTGAGCCTCACATCGGGCTCTGTGCTGACGGTCAGAGCCTGGAGCCTGCTTCAGATTCTGTGTCTCCCTCTCTTCCTGCTCCTCCCCCACTCGCACTCTGTCTCTGTCTCTGTCTCTGTCTCTCAAAAATAAGCATTTAAAAAAATTAAATTCTGTTAAAGATAGGCCTGAATCTGTAATTGTATATAAGAAAGACCTGGTCAACCCCTATATCAGTAGTCAAACTTTAGTTCGAATGGCGTATCTCCAGGGGATTTTAATAAAATAGATTTTAGGGACCTGATCCCTAAGTGATTCTGATATAGATGTTCCAGAGAGCAAACTCCAGAAACATTGCCCTAAGTGGTGTAATCATCCTGTAGATTATGATGACCTGGTTCTGTGGGAGGTGGACCAGCAAGAATCAAGCCAATTAAAAACGACATTTATGTGCAATACTATTTCTGTAGATTTCCTAATACAGCAATGATTTTTTCCATGAAAATAATTGATCCCTTTCTTCAAGAATGCTTTGAACACTCTTTCATTACTTCAACCAGTAATGGCTAAGCACCTACTGTGTCGTGCGTTGGTACCTCTTGATTTGTTGTAGGTCTTTGTTCTCACTTTATTTGGATTTTCTAGTAGGAAAAAAAAAGTGAAAATGCCTTTTGAAGTCTCATAAATCAGTCAGTTCTTCCCAGATAGTGGGATCCTATTTGGATGTGAAGCAAGTCGACTATTTGGTTGGAGAATGACAATTTCTATGCATGGCTCCCGCGTGAAATGGCACTGCTCATGTCCAGATTATGACTTTATCCAGAGCAATGAAAATACCTTGCTCCAAACAGTTCTTGCTAGGGCTGCTTCTCATCAGGTGTATAGTTTCTTTTCTAAGGTCACCCTTATAAGACATCGCCTTTACTGTAGAATTCTGTAATGTTCCAAATGTAGTCTTCCCCCCACGCCACCACCACCACTGAAAACAGCCTTGGCACCTGTGCAGCTTCAATGGAAGACTGTTCCAAAAGGATTTTCCTTTGCCTGTTTCTTTCAGTTTATGCAAAGGCAATGTTCCAAATAAATACAGTGTTGACAAAGGGGCAGGAGTTTGGGAAGGACACAAATGTTTACTTCCAACCATTTTTTCTTGCTCTGTGACCTCAGACAAGTTATTTAACACTTTTGAGCCTCCATTTCTTTATCTAAAAACTGAGTATTAAAATATATCTAACTTGCAGAGTCTTTGTAAAGAAGTCAATGAAGTAATTTATGTGAAAGCCCACTGCCTGACATACAGTGAATGCTAAGTAAATGTCAGTTGGTCTCCCCTGGCTTTCTGCTACTTCCTCTGCCTCCTCTCATCTCCCCACCCCCCACCACACACACACCAACCTTCCTTTTTAATTCCCCCACCTCTTCTTCCCCACCTTCCCCCCTAGCTCTCCCTTTTTCTCCACTCTCCCCTCCTGTGACATCTCCAGTCCCTCTTTCCCTTTATCTTCTGTCCCTCCTTTGTCCCCTCTCCTAAGAATCCCAGGCTAACTTCTGAAAAATGAGTCCCGTTTGACATTTCCTCTGCGGAGGCCACAATCTAGCTTTTACACTATGTCACCTGCAATCCATTCCTTACAGTATTAACAATCAAGTCAA